GTAAGCAGTAAACTCACTTGGAATCCCGAAATTTGTAGTTTGATATTTGGCAGCTCCATTTCGACTTGCCAAGTTTGCTTGCGTCTTCTTGAGTTGAGAACAAAGAAAAATTCCGTGAAAACGATGTATATCTTTTTAGTTTTTAGAATGATGATGATCATGATATTGGTTCGTACCGTTGAAGGTGGTGGGAAAATGGATTGGAACAATCCTGTTGTTGATGAAGAAGATGAAGGAGAGACTCTTGGACCAAAAATATGATCCAACGAAGAAGAGGAGGACGATGAAGAAGAACCAGATACCGACTTTTTCTTGTCCATCACCGCTCTTTTCAACTTTTTGTTGTCTACTTGTTTATGTGTGTGTACTAATGTATTTATATGTTAAAGGGTTAGTTCTTTGTGGCTAAGGGATATATGTTCAAATGATAAAGTAGAAAATGGAAAGAAATGAGAGAAGTTACTTTGAGAAATATTTTTAGTTGTTTGTGTTGGGAGGTATGAGACTTGCTCACTCTCCTATAAGCTTATATATAGACACTGTTAACCATTTAACAGCTTTGAGCCTTTGACTATATTTGAAACCATATTAAAAGTTACATTATTCTAATTTCCTTTTGGGAATTCCGTGTTATAAAAGATTTCCCATTTTAGGAAGCATTTTATGACTGAAATTTAATTGATTAATTATCCGACTAATCAACCGATTAATCGCCAATCCAGTCAGTAGATAACAGAGGCGGAGCCAATGTATAGGGAGGGGTGTCAATTGACCCCCATGACATTTGAAAATTCTTAATTACATAAGGTATTTTACTTAATAATATTAGTTGTTTTGGTATAAAATTTTCATGTTGACCCCTATGCCATATGATCATCTCTTACCTTTGACCCCATTCATATTCATTTTTCATTTAACATTAGTTCCATTTTCATTTTTGTTTTGTGTTTTCTTAAGAAGAGACTATAAATATCTAATATTTTCTTACATATTAATTTTTTTTCTTCTCATAAAGTATCATGTTTTATTTATTTTCTTACCTTCTTTTCAAAATTCTTACATAATATAACACCTAATTACTCTCCACAATAAACTATAGATTAGATAAAAATATATTTTGAGAAAAGTAGTTAACACAACTAAAATAAAAATAAAAATATGAATTACATGTATCTTTTATTGAAAGTTGAAGCATTTTAAATAGTACAACAAAAATTTATATTAAAAATATATTTAGTTTTTGTTTTAGGTAAAAAAATGTTCTCTACACAATTAAAACAAAAATTTTTATTATACTTTAAATATATCATTTAATATAAATATATAATTAAATATAAATGACCCCTATAAACCAAATATCTGGTTTAGGAAGTAGATAACACAATTAACGTTCCCCCTTAATACTAGAACTAGATTCGGACCCGCACATTTGTGCGGGGCTATATTTGTAGACGTATTTATTTGGTATAACATTCATTATGCTACCTCATATCAGTTTGGTATTCGGTTTAGTTTCAATTTGGTTTAGACAAAATAATTAATCGGATTTGTTTTTGGTTACAGTAAAGACAATTACATAATTAAAAGGAGAGAGAGAAAATAGACATCAATTTTGAGACAGAAAATCCGTATGGTCACATATCTACCACACACATTTAATCACATAAGCGTTAATTTACTCGTTTGTGATTGTATATCGTGTAGGTCTCGGATTCGGATGGAATACCCGTATTTTATGTATTTTCGTTTAGGTATTTAATTTTTACATAATTGGTTGAAGTTATCCGTATTTTCTTTATATTCTCAATATTTCACTATTATGTTTTAGAAAATACCCAAATTTCCCAAAATTTCCATCACGAAATAAACTTTACCCGTTCCAAAATCTTTTATTTGGCACATGCTATGCTAGATAAATTGAAAGAAACATTTTAAATATATGATTGCAAGCAATGTTTTATTTTAATTGTAATATGTTATTCGACATTTTTTTAGGAATTCTCATCCCATCCCGTTCAAAAAGTAAGTTTCAATATTTAGGGTTAACACACTATTATAATCTTAACAATATGTTTGCGAATCAAAGTATTAAATATAGATTCGAGTTATATGCTTGATTTTTTTTTTAAAAAAATCTATAATTAGAGTTATATTTGGCAAGTATAATAATTATTGTGATATGATTTCGTAAACTAATTTAAGATTTGATTTAATCGTAAAAATATGTATTTTCTATTTTTATTATTTCGAATTTGTTATTGTCAATTTTTATGGAAACATTATTAAATCATAACAGTAAATTTAGTTTGTTTGAGTTTTAGATAGAAAAAACAGAAAAATCTTTTTGAATATATATTGTTAATGCTCCAACAAAATAAATATATATACTTTTTGAATATATATTTTTGACCAAAAGAAAAATGCTCTATATATATATATTTCGAATTTTTTTCTTTTGTTTTTTAAATTCAATAATTCTAATGGCATTCATTGTAATTAATCTACCAAAATAAGGTTTGTTAGTTTTGAGTGATTCCCAATTAATAATATAGATATTCCAAATTTTACAATATTTCTTATTATGAATCTTCCGCATGACAATATGAGACAAACATAATTCTAACTTAACTTACATATTTCTTGTGTGATAATCAAATTCCTTTGGTCGGCTATGATACTTCCTATGGGTTTTTTTGTTTGTTTTTGCATTTGACATTATGAAATGATTTTTTTTTTACTTGATAAAACACAATTTTTAGTGTTTTTATCAGATATCTTTTGGCAAATACAAATACACATAGAAATTGCAACTTTTGGCTACATTTCGCAGACACCGTTTAGTTTTTCAAAATGATGATGTTTATATTAATATACAAATAAACGAGCCGTGCGTAAGGTTGTGGAAGCCTAATGAAACAACAAATTGAGTTCTGGTACAAAACATAAAGCCCAAGTCATAGCATTTCACTAGGACAAAAAAAAAACAATAATTAGGCCATACAAAGAATAAACGATTATGTGAATCTGTTGAACAGAATTCAACCGATAGAACATAATGTCAATACGTGTGATGGGTATTTGTCCTAATATTCTTTCTATCGGTTATTTGTTTGACTATGCCTTTTAAAACAGCCTCTGCAGAGATAACATCACATGCATGATCCGTTGTATCTGTATCTAACAAACACTTAGAATTATCTGTACGATGCAAATTAAATTCAAAGTAATAACCAATGGTATAGGCTACTCTCACGCAAGGAATAATTCGACTGCAAATAAAGAAAGACTGAATGGGATGATATACGTGTCCTTAATGGGACTTGAGGAACTCATGACATGTTCACCATAATCATCATATATCATCCATTTGTAACTTTCTCAAGTAATGGACACCATTGACATCAAGAATGTCAAAAAGACTTAGAGATAGAGATAGAGATTAAAGATGAGAGAGAGGCAGCCTTTTGTAAAGAGGATTAGATCCCTTATGAGTCAAGGAGAGCCATAGCTTGAGGGTCAAAGAAGCTCTTACCTACACTACAAATTCTCTCTGCTCCCCAACCTTGGATCATTATACCGTTAGGATCTTATATTATGCTTAGTTGACATTGCATATTTTTTTCACATGGTTAGGATGTTTAGATACATTGCACATAGTAATTGCAGTAATAAGAAGGATTCGAGCTTGGGTATTCATATGTTGATGCTTTTGCACATGTTATTTTGGCTGGTTTATGGGATAATTTGTAGTAAGTTGATATTCTCTCCAATTTACAAGTTAGAAACCTGTCTTTTATTTCGAATGTTTTACTTGATTTATGTTAGATTTTTTTTTTTTGATTTATATTATATTTCTATGTAAAATAATTTTTCTTGCCTAATTTCTCACCATTCTTACAATTTGTTGGGTATGATACAAAATTGTGAATGAGCTAAATAAAGAAAATATTTAAAACCGAACATTAGACCTAGACGATCCCAATTTTTTTTTTTTAAAACTTCTTCAGGTTCTTGATTCTTTAGTTTTAAGGTTGCATGTATAGTTGCTATCAAAGGACATTAATGCTTGATATATAATAGCACATCATGTATATTAAATCACAGCTTTCTATTCATCCAATTTCTCCGTTAATATAATCTGTATAAACAGAAATTATCTAGTCGAATTAATGTAGTAAAGAAGAAATATAATATGCCGAATAAATGTGTATATCGGGATATACAGAATTTTAGACAACACAAAATTAACAGATAAACTATACCTAAACAGTATAAAACAAAAAGAGATGAAAAAACTTTAGTGTTCCTTGTGCTTCCCTAAAGCTCAACAAGAAGCACTTGCTCCTTTTTTTCTTATCTAGAAAAGGAATCCTATACGTACCCCAGTCGATTATATAGTTCGCTTTCAAATATTTGTATATATGGCATTTTCTAAATGAAGTTTATTTTCTTGTTGAAAAATAGTTTATACTAGGGTTGGGAAACTAAATAACCTAAATAATTCATAGCTCTAAGTAAATCATGTAGATAATTAATTGTTTTTTTTAACACTTTCTTGGGTTAAAGGGAATGAAATTGAAGAACATCTATCTTTGTGTTCATTAACTAACCAAATTAGATGTCTTTGTATACATCAATATTAGAATGAATATTTTAAAATAATCAAACAAAAAGTAGATACCTAACCAAACCGAATACAAATGATGTTTAAATGGTTTCAATACAGTTTAATTTTAGTTCAAATACTGGGAATAATGATTTATTGGTTTTTCTTAGTGTTTTCGTTGTATCACTACCGAAATTCAAATCCGCAAAAAGGCTTTGATGTTGGATTATAAGATTTTGGTTCTCCGGCCAGCTTTTCATGAAGTTGTCTTAAACTTCTTTGGGCTAGGCTATGGCAAACCTTTTAAAATAAATAAGCTTCATAATTGTTTAGAGTTAGGCTTTGGGCTCCAACAAAGCTGGACCGATTGAGTTTTAGTTATTTAATATATTTCATTTCAAATCATCCTTTCTTTTGTTTTTAGCTCTTTCCAAGTTTTCAAGTGAACCTTACAAGAGTAATTTACCGAACAAAAAGAAAACCCTCACAATATTAAGTAACTACAGTAGTTAGTTATTAATATCCTTTGCCAACCTATGGCTATAGGGTTCGACGTTCATGGAGTATACTTCGTCTTCATCTACACCATAAATCCCTTTCTCACCTGCACACATTCATATGTAAACAGAAAACATTTAACTTACAATTTTTTTTTTGCTTTCACTTTTACAATTTGTTACAACAGCAAAAGGTATTTTTATTTTCTTGTAATCAGAGATTTGTGGTCTCAAGCAGCAGATTTGTAACTAGCACAACGACTGGTCACCCAATTGACAACCAAAATTGGGTTTAATGTGTTTTTGCATTAAGTGAATGTATATTTTCGTTTCTTTGTTAAACAAACGTACCAATTAATTTTTTAGCCTCTTCATCGGTAAGTTTTGCTGCAAACCCGCTCACGACTTCCTTGTAGCAATATACAAGAGCATCTTTTGGTGACCTGATGAAAAAAAAAAAAGACAACATCAAAAACTTATGAATTTTTCTTTATAAAATAAAATAAAATAAAATTTGTTAAACTATTTTCGATTCCTTTTCATATACCAACTCAATCTTCATTGTTATACCATTTTGGATTGCAGCCTTATTTCCACCATGATATTTTATCATTTGTTTTGGTTTATGTTTTTGCTAATACATCTACAAATCATTAAGTTTTTGCTTATTGATCTACTCCGTAGAAACCACGAATTACCTTCCGTGAACCACCTTTTTGAGAAGTTGTTGGTATTGCTTACAGTCACCATGATACAATTCAAAATCAACATGGACGAGATAAACCTGTGTATCACAATTGGTAAAATATTTATGCTTTAAAAAAAAAAATTATGCTTTGCCTTTGAGGAATATTAGTTTTAGAGAAAAACACATGAATAATACAAATAAAAGAAATACCTTCATTAGCGGATTGTCCGGAGATGGCCCCAACATTCTACTCGAACATACGACGGAAACTGAAAATGCTAAGAAAATCAACAATATTTGGGAAATCATTTCAATAAAATTGCTAAGAATTGTATTGAGAGATTAAAGATTTGAGATTTGGATAGAATAATCTATATTGTGATTTGTGAATACAGTCATAAATAGTGGTGAACAATGAAAACGTTAGGCCAAAAATGCGAAGCTATAAGTTCTATAACCTCTTTTGAGCGTTTTATAACAGCATTTATTGAGTATTTATTGGACTCCCTTTTAACAACCCATTTTATTATAAAAGAAAAAAAAAGTAGTAAAAACTACCTAAATCACCATTAATGAGATTTAAAATTAAAAAATCTTTAAACAAGAAAACAATTTTGAAACGATTATTAAAAAATCGCCTTATATAATTTAATTAGAATTTTATATGAAACGTTTATTTATTTATATTAAAATATATAAATCAAGACTTATTGTACACCATACTTGTTATCAACGGAATGATCATTAACTATAGTCTATAGTTTATTTTAATAAAGAGTGGCAGCTTCAGTTCTTGACTTCTTGGGGAATCACATGCAAGCTTTGGGTCCGTTAATTGAGTATATGACAATCGGACTCCTGACTTGGCGGGAACCGTCTTTCTCCGTCCACGTGAGCCACGTGTTCCTCGTCATAAACGCCTTGTTCTTCTTCCAATTCCGCTTCGATATTCCGGTGACAGTCACCGTGAAAGTCTTGGTCTCTCCCAACTCGCTAAATTTTAGCTCTGGAGGATCTACAATGATCTCGTCAAAGTCCTTGTCACCTCGGTAGTTGATTTCTCCGAGGTAAGTGAAATCTCCGTCGTTAACGTTTGTGACCGTTCTATGGAAGATTTTTTTGAATGGGGTTTCCAGGGGCAGGGGGACTCGAGCCGTCATAGTTGGATAGTTGAGGTCGGCGTCGTGGTCTATCTCTGTCTTGGAGCAATCTATCTTGTCGCTTCCAACGTGTGATCTTAGCTTCTCGGTGTTGTAACCTAGTTTGCACATGTAATCTATGTAGTCTTGGTAATGTGTTTCGTAGACCAAACCCGGGTCTCGGACTTTTGTAGCGTTTAAGTGACCTGACCCATATGCAAACTCATAGCCCTCATCCGTCATTTCCGTGGCTGCAAAGAGAAAAAGAATATTAAAATTTATATACTACAATATATATATATAGATTAATTAATCTGTCATTGGTGTTGGGACTTACAAGTGGTCATGAGGGCAGACTTAATAGCGGATGGAGACCAACGTTTAAACGACTTGAGGTACAAGGCAAGTCCAGTGGCGTGAGGGCAAGCCATGGAAGTTCCTGACATTATGTTGAACCTGAGATGGCGGTAATCGTTGGAGGGGCGGTCTGATGAAAGTTTCACATTCTCGGGCCAACCCGCTATGATGTCTAACCCCGGAGCAGCTATATCTGGCTGAAAAACAAAACTCCTTATGAGAATTATAAACCAAAACTTTACTGATGCTTTTTTCTAGTGATCAAGTTGACGTGTAATACATGTAAAAGAAAGTTACCTTGAGAATGTTTGCTAGGAAACTGTCACAATTAGGACCCCTCGATGATAAATGAGCAACAGTTGGAACCCATCCCTCTTCTCGTGGAATTTCCTCGGTCTTGTGGATTTTGGTTTCTTTGCTGTCATAGGAATCAACATAAAACAAAATTCATTTTTTTTTAACTTAGTGGAGCAAACAATTAGTCTTAATTGTTCTTATATGACCACTTAATGAATGTCTTTACCTTTGATCTTTTTTATAGTACTCCCATAGTTTACCTTGCTTTTGTTCGTCCAAAAATATAGAAGCGATAGGAAATTGTAACTTTTTCGACTCATTGAAGTCGTAAGATCTACCTCCCAATACGATTGCGCCTTTCTCTCTCTCTTTAATCGCTTTGTCCAAGAGGTTGATTTGAGCGAATTCAAAGAAAACATCTTTTCCTTCATCCTTCTCATAGTTGGACAAGATTGTGTAACCGTTGCTCCTACAATTGAGAAGCAAACATTAATTTCATTTATCAAATAGTATGGTTTCAACAATAGTAATTCATCACTGATTCTTGATCAAAACCGTGTTAAACTATACTTAGAAGTCATTTGCAAATATCATACCAAATCAAGCATATATATAGATGTTCTAAAAAGATTTTTAGTTTTTTTTTTTTTATTTGAAGTAGAAATTTATTTTAAAAGTTCAAAAGAAAGTTAAGAATTTTTAATTGTGAAATCGGATCCTATGCATATATAGTTATATACGCACCAATTTGCACAACAAACTCTTGGTACCAAAAAAAAAAAAAAAAAAAAAAAAAAAAAAAAAAAAAAAAACACTGGGGTACCGTGACTTACTCAGCGATGAGTTCACGTTTTCTTGTTGATTCAGCGGATGCTTTTTCATCCAAAAGTGGGTAGAAAGAATCTTGTGTCTCAAAGGTGTTGATCGTGTCGTACACCTGGTTGCATAACAAAGAGATGTCAAACAAAGCCACACACTAATGGGAGACTATTGAAAAGTCAATAAGCCTAACAGGAGATTGCTTGCGATACAAGAAACCTATCTGTTTAACTTACAATGATTGGCTTATCTTCTCCTTTCAACTCCAACTTAGTCTCTAAATATCTATCTTTCAAGCTCGCTGCAACGGTCATGACCCAAGGTGCGCCATTGGTGACTTTGTAATAATAGTTCCCATAGTTCCCGGCCGCGGCTGAAGTCAAAATTCCATTCTTAAGTGCTCTCAAGAATGCCCACGAGACTTTATCTTTTTGCAACGTAGATTTAAACCCCTGAGAATACGATATGATGTCAACCTTGTCCTCGATCGCATCATCTATTGCCTTCAAGATATTATCTTCTCGACAAACTGAATCCGCTCTACCATCTTTTCTTATTACTCTCCAACATGTTTTATAAACGGCGATCTTTGCGTTGGGAACACCGCCTCTCATCGTGCCTTCCGCTAGCCCAAAGTAGCCCGCCTTCTCTACTTTCCTGCCGGCAACAATGGAGGCCACGTGTGTGCCGTGTCCCGTCACGTCAATCACCGATTTCTCTTCAACCCACTTGTACTTTTCTTTTTTCGGGTAGTATGATCGAGCCCCAACGATCTTGCTGCAATTGTAGTTTATAATAATAAGATTAATTCTCACACTTCCAACTTTCAAGATTCCTAACCATGTCATCTTGAGAAAAGAAAACCATAACTAAAGGTTTATTATAAATTAATAATACTTGTTGCAAGTTATGTTTTCGCATTTGTTTTCCCAAGCCAAAGGAGGAGGGCTATCGCTACTGAAGAGCTCAGAGTAAGGCCAAATGCCGGAATCGATGACAGCCACCACCAAATCACTCTCATTCTCGAGATTGCGCTCAGATTTTAATGTTAGATTCATGAAGTCCCATGATCTTGTCGTTTGAAGCTTTAGGTTTCTGCTACGTGACACTTCCAATACTTCTCTCCTCCCTGCATCAAACATTGGAACATATCAATCTAGCACTAGGCTATAACGTGTTATAATATTGTAATGATCAAAATAAATGGAAACGAAACAATTGTGGTCTTACTCATCAGCTTTTGCCGTTCACTTTGTGTGAGACTTGCCGAGAAACCGGTGAAGCTCTCCTTATAGCTGTAGATAAATGCATCCGCTACGGTGCTGCATTGTGTTAACATATATAGATAATTGGTTTCATGGAAATTTTGAACCTATATCTCATCAAAACCGATATGACTTAATTAAAAGAATAAGGCATAATTAAAACCTATCGTCGTCAAGAACTTCGCCGAGTAGTTCCTGGTGACCGGAACTTGACCCATATAGATGCCCTCCAACTTTCATCTGCACAAGGTATGTCTGTACCATACAAAGCAAGAAGTCATTTGTTAAAATTCAAACATTAGTCCTTATATTCATGCAAAAAAAAAAACATTATTCGTTATGCAATCTTTGACCTAAAATTGAAAAGCATTGCATGTGAATATAGTAAAGGTGCACCAAAGAAAGTAAAATTTAATCTCAAAACGGAATAGTGGCTCTCATTAGTGTTAATTGACCGAGACTTACTAATCTTAATAAACAAATATTTTCACAACAAAGGGTTTGGATTTAGTGTATATATAGAATAAGGTCCATTTTTTCTCACCTTTCGCGTGTCATTTGCTTCCGCAAAAGAAGCAAAGAAGAAGAGTAGCAGTTGAAGAAGGAAGGTATGAAAAGCTATTCCCATCCCTCACTCACACTCACAAGAACAATCTTATTTCTAATTCTTTTTCTTTAAGTTTTTTTTGTCAACTCTTTTTAAAAAGGTTTTATGACTCTAATATACTTAAGTTTTGTTGCAGTGCATGGTAATATGCTTAATGTCTATTTATAGAGAAATTTCATGAAGGAGATTGGGAGCGAAGAGGACTAATGAAGAAGAAAATTGGAGGAGAAGATTGAAATCGAAACATTTCATCGTGCATAAGCTCATCAATCAATTTAAAAGAATCTTATTCTTCAATAATGAAGCTGCATGCTTTTTTTGGTGATTCTTGAGAAAGTCCATGATGATTTTTCTTTATCTTTCTATTTTTACGATAAAACATGAGTATACGGTATTGATTCAAGTGCAAATCAAGAAAACGTGAGGGTCTATGTTGACGCACATATACATGTATGCTTGGTTTGATGAAACTTGTAACGTCCAAACTCGAGCACAATGTGGTCAGACAATAACACTAAACCAGTACAATCATGTTTCAATTGTTTGTTTGTGTTTGTTTACTATACGTTCGTGTATGTTTTATTATTTTTCCAAATGAACCCACAAATTTTAAGTTTTTTTTTTTTGGTAAACTTACACGCTGAAAACAATGGTCGTATACGTCTAACGCTTGTATTTTCAATTTACAAAAATATTTTATGAAAATTAGAAATAATTATATTTCAAAAATGATTTCTTTTTTTTGGTTCGAATTTTGAGGATAGTATGAAATGGTCACAATACTATGTAGGAAATGTTTGAGGATACTATGATCAGAGGATACGTTGTCCAACTTCTTCTAGTGAGGAAATGGACTAAGAATATGAACATATTCAAAGATAGGATAATGACATGATATGTGTCTACAGAATTGGATACATGTGGTTTTGGTTCCCGTTTGCAACAAAAACAAAAAAAAAAAGGTTAAAAGTTACTTTTACGAACTTATGGCTTCCGTGTTCACTTCTCATCCACAACAAAGAACAACATAAAATTTCATTCCCTCTAATTAGTGTATTCTTTTCTATTGAGAGACCACCAAACGGATCATATATCACTTCACTCACGAGTCACGATCACACCAAAACGAGTGGACTTTACTTTCAATAGCTTCTCACATTCTTCTTTTACTTAACATGTGTGAAACTTGTTCTTGTCCAATTTAGATGATCATTCGATTTTTATGATGGTAATCGAAGATGTTCATATGCGTTACTTATGTCCAATCACTTTTCCATGCCCCTTAAGAGACAAAGCTCATCTTACTAAACTTTTTTTTATAACACCATTTCATTTGGTGTCCTAAAATCCAAGAAACGACCATATGCATGTACACACCAACTATGTGATCTCAACAGGCAGATGAAAATCATGTAAACCCATAAAAGAAGATAGAAAATTATGCAGAAAGTGAATTTGGGGAAGAAAGAGATTAGAAGACTAAGGTCTTGCTCCTTTCCAAGAGTTCTCACTACCATCAGTACACACTTCACAGCCAAGTCTTCAATGGTTTCAATCAATTTCTCGAGTAACACCAAATCCATCTGTGAAAGAAGGAAAAGCAGAAATGACTCATTTAAGTAAAAGTTTAGCCCGGAAGAATCCATTAGATATCATGTTTAACAGAAATGTGAACTTGACTCTGTAAGGAATAACATGAACATATCAGTGCATCAGAAACCTTTTATTCACTGTTTCGTTTTGGTTTTCACCAAGGACAGACTACTGACTAACCTCAATGAAAGGATCAAATCTTTGTGGACATCATGAATTTGGTCTTCTTCTCTGCGGGCTTCAAAATCTGAAACGAGCACATAAGGTTCTCGTCCACGCTCATCATCGCACCAGCATTATCAAATTCACCACAGTAGTTAGGAGCTGAAAACACCGTCACAAGTTGTCTATCAGCAAAGAACTCATAACCATCCTCCACGACCTGCCATAAGAAATTCAACCCCCTTGTTAACATCACAAAAGCAGTATAACCAAAGAGACATGATCGAAATACATCTACCTGATGGGCACGACACACAAGGTCTAAATCATGCTTTGTAAGAAACTCGGAAACTTTATCAGGACCAAAGGTGTATGAAACACCTCTATCATTCATTCCCCATCCTTTAACATCTTTCCCAGGATCAGACCAGAGCAAATCACAGAGAAGCCCGGTATCCGGAATCATAGTAGGACGAGGCAAGTTTCTAATCTCATCCAAATGGTCAAGATCCGGCGAAAGTCCACCGTGCATACACAATATTTTGTCATCTATAAGCGCCGCAACAGGAAGGCAATTAAAACAGTCAGTGAAAACCTTCCATACCCTCACATTGAACCTCCTTTTACATTCATCATAAAACCCATAAATCCGATTGATAGAAGCACATTCGTGGTTTCCCCTTAGTAGAAAAAAGTTCCCAGGGTATTTGATCTTGTAAGCTAGTAAGAGACATATTGTTTCAAGACTCTGTTTGCCTCGGTCCACATAGTCCCCCAGAAAAAGATAATTGGCACTAGGAGGGAAGCCACCGTACTCGAATAGCCTCAGCAGATCACTATATTGCCCATGTATGTCACCTGGATTATAACATTCACACCACAAATCATAAGGAAAAATCACAGAACGGGATAGGATTTTTCATGAACACACACAGTTTCATAGCAACAAGATAAACTCATATCCACTCAATCATTATCCACAAAAAGCCAAAACGTTTCTCACTCAGATTCTAGTCACTTCACAACATCAATCAAAAAGTTTCACACTTTTGAAGACATTAACACATTAGAACCCTAAAATCAATTCGGAGGAAATTAAAATCAACGAATCAAATTGGGAACATACCACAGATTTTGATGGGAGCCTCAAGCTCAAGCAAATTGGGTTGCTGAAGGAAAATATCTCTAGCAGTAGTACAGAGCTGTTTGATCTCAGCTTCCGAGAGCTGGACTTGCTTTCCTGGTCTAGCTAACCGGACCTCCGTGAGTCGCCTGATTATATCATCGAGAACCGCCGTGTCAATCGCCGTTTGCTGCCCTTGCGTCGTCGTCGCCATTAACAGAACCAAAAAAAAAAAAGAAACCCTAATTTTTTTCGACCCCAAAAAACGAAGAGAGCAAAAATGCAAAACAATCTGTGAAAAACAAAATTAAAGAAGAAATTACGCGCAAAGACTTTCGAGTTTTTTATTTATTTTTTTAGTTCGAATTGATTTTTTATTGAAGAAAAAAAAAATGGAAGTAAAGTATCGGAAAATGGAGATGGAGACGAATTTTACAGCTAAAAAAATTAAAAACCTTTGAAATGAAGGAAACTGAAAGATAAGTAGTGATAGATAAGAAAATTTGGATTATGGGAATAGTTAGTACGACGTCGTTTCTAAGAGTCCCTTAAACGGGCTTTAGCTTAATGGATAATGGGCCGTTAATTAGTACAATAATATGATGACCTTTTTTTATACTAATTCGACCTAACAAGAACTTAGATAAAATAAGCAGCTGCTTACATACATCCCCAAAAAAACACTATTTTGGTAGTTTGGTAATAAAGGTGGGCTCTACTCACACCTAAAACTCATGAAAATGATATGGATTGGGTCGGAATGACCCGTAAACTGAGGCCTGAAAGAGCCCATCATCAATGCAATGAGAAATAGTCGTCTCTTTTATTTGCTTTCCGATCATAAAGTTGTTTATTTGGGTGAATATCGTAAAGGTTTGATTCATTCTTTCCAACTCAACTCCACGTTTCTCATCTCAAGTCTTTTTACACCAAAAAATCTTTACAGACACAAAGTTGACGATTTATAACAACTTGGATAAGATGTCTCATGCATGAGATACCAAAGTAAATTCTTGGATGTTACGTGATTAAAGACAAATGCAGTGGATCTTCTATTTTTGCATTATTGGCTACTCAAGCTCAGCCAAATTCTTCGATATATACTTTATTTCGTTGCAAGAATTGTATCATATTTCAACCACTTGCATCCATGCATGGGTAGAAAAGTTTCAATGAGACTGATAATTCACAAAGTCATTTTTAACAGGAGTAAATTCTTGTTGAACTAGAAGACATTTGTTTAAACATTTCAAGTTATAAGATTACTGATGAATATAGTGATGTAATAGTTAACATTTTCTTCTTCGGATGGAAAATAATTAAACATCATGGGGGTATAGATACTTAAGATCAAAAAATATATAACTTGATAAGAAAAAAAGAAAAAGATAAGTGTTTTTAAAAATGAGGATTCCCAAAAATAAGCAGCCTTAATAAAAATAAGTTATGGATCGTCCATACAGAGATCGACTTTAGCAAGTTGATAAAGAAATGGTCAGATCTCAAGGTGGAAACTGTTGCTGAAAAAAGCTAGATTTGATCTGATGCTGTCTTTAACCCAAAATATTAATTTGATCCCCAAAAAAATGTAAATTAATCGAAAGAAATAACTTAAAAATGACAATAGGTTAGGCTTTTGTTCTGTAAAAATTGAGGTGTCTGATTCCACTTTGAAGCCTCTTTCACCTTTGCTGCGTCATCACCGGTCACGACCTTCCTATAGATTGATGCCTCAAATTATAAATATTATTATTAATTGGTCCGTCGTTTGTAATGTCAAAAAAGCTTAATTGACATTATAAAATTGCCTTTGGTAACGTTGCAAAAGCGCATCTTTATCGTGTATTAGAATACCTTTGTAAATAAGCCAGTATAGCGTAAAAATTGTGATATAATGAGTTCTTATGGATTCATGTGTCGAATATTTGAAACTTTAAAAAGATAATAAAAATGCTCAATTTATATATGTACGCTAATTAATATACATGCTATTTAATGTTTTTTTGTAATATTTTATGATTTCAATTAAGTAAGTTGTGTTCGATTTTTATACTCAAATTGCAATTTATATGATACATAAATATTATATACATATATAGATGATGAGATGATTCAACTTTTAGCAAAAGATATGACCAAACAAAGATTAGAGGGAAAAATGAATGTTGAAGAAGAAGAGGAAAGAGAAAGAAAGAAATGTCACATTTTATTATATGTAACTGAAATAATATGTTATAACTTATAATTTCGTCCAACCAACATTTTATTAGATGTTCAATATATTTAACCAAACCAAAGTTAAGGCAAAATAGTTAGAGCCGATGGAACGAGCGTCTCCATCAAACCCCAAAAAGAAATAATTTTTTTTGCTTTCGTTTACAAATCTCACTTTTTGGTTTTTCTCCCCAACAAAAAAAAAGAAAGAGAAGATTAAAAAGGTTTCAACTATCTTCCTCCTCCCCACACCGTTGTTTGAGGGATTCTTCCGCCTCAGCAAAAACCAAAAAGACATAAAAATATTCTCTTAAAAAAACATCTCTTTCTCTCTGTTCCTTTCCTTTCAGAAGCTAAGCATCTCTTCCTTTTCTTTTTCTCTTTTTTTTTTGCCCGATCTCTTCTGCAAAGATTCTCTCTCTTTCTTTCTTCTCTTTTCATTTATGTTTTTATTCTCTAATAACAATTTCATGACTTCTAACTTCTTCTTCTTCTCCCCTCTTCCTTCTTCTTCCTCCTCCTCTTCTTTTCTTTGCTTCTCTCTCCGGCCGTCGTTTTCGCTTTACTCACACGTTTTCAAGTATATTTAAACACGTGTGGGCCATTTTTCCATCCTCATGGATTCTTCTTCCTCTTCCTCTTCTTCTTCTCCTTCTTCTTCTTACGGTGTTGCTCGTGTCAGCCATATCTCTAATCCTTGTATCTTTGGTGCGTTTTCTTTTCTTACCAAATTTATATCTTTAGACTAAATATTGAAAGAGTGAACCTAACGTTTTGATAATTATACAGGGGAAGTTGGGTCGTCATCTTCGTCAACATATAGAGATAAGAAATGGAAGTTGATGAAATGGGTGAGTAAGCTTTTCAAGACTGGCTCTAATGGTGGTAGTGGTGTTCACACTAATCATCATCCTCCTCAGTTTCAAGAAGACGAAAATATGGTCTTTCCTCTACCTCCTTCTTCTTTGGTAATTATTATTTTTAATTATACTCATTTAATTTGAAACATTTCTTCTTTCATTTTTTTCTTTCTATTTTAATCTACACACATATACTATAGACATGTGATTATTCATATTAAAAGCGTTAATATACAGAAGACATGTGAACATACTACTGTTTTCTTTTTTTACTCGTGTTGTTTGAAACAAATAACACGGGTCATGTACATTCTGTAAAATTGTCACATCCCTGAATGAGTTGGTCCATTTATTCGTTGTCATGAGTCTCGTTGGGTTTTGATGCTCAAATTGAGATGATGTGACAATGTGGCCTTGAGCACTATTAGGGATAAGAAAAATAGGTAGAAATTGGTTTATAGGTTGGTTCAATAAGGAGTAGTTATTAGTGGGCCGAATGGAGATATTTTCTTTCTATTACCGAGTTGAGATATATTTTCGATTCAATCTCATGTATTATGCGGATTAGATTCCAAAGTTGTCTGAGCTACTTTTTTTTAATAATACGTAATTATGCTTTAATTTATTTTTTAATTAATATTTATTTCTTGAAAACTTATATAATCAAATTATTTCAACTTTTAAAAGTTAATATGAACTACCTAGCTCATATTGGGTTAGAAATATAATTTTTAATCCATGAATTAAATAGATAAACACAAAATACTCGGTAAATGATGAAAGAGTTGTATTGGATTGATGTGGCCTATTTTGATACCTTTTCCTTTTTTTGTCAACCTATTTTGATACCCTTTAGCACTACCAATGATATTTAGTTGTGATCATATATGAATCTATAAAAGATGATATATATGTATATATATCATGTTGGTGGAAAATTATTATTTTTATCTGAAATATGCTAATTTATTTCATCAATTGATGCCATCATAAATATTTTTGGATGGTCATGTCAACGAATAACGAATCACAGGATGATCGGTCGAGAGGTGCACGGGACAAAGAAGAGCTCGACCGTTCAATTTCACTTTCTCTAGCTGACAACACGAAGCGCCCACATGGTATTTCTATCTACGTTCATGAATTAAAGTATTTGTTAGGCAAAAAAAAATAAAGTTGGTTCAAAACGTTATTTCTATTGTATTAGAGAATGAATTTTTTTTATGAAATAAATTGTGCAGGGTATGGTTGGTCTATGGATAACAATCGAGATTTTCCAAGGCCTTTTCACGGTGGCTTGAATCCATCATCTTTCATTCCACCTTATGAGCCTTCCTATCAATGCAGACGAAGACAAAGGTGCAACAAAACACATTCTCTTAGTGTAATTAAAAAAATTATATTCCTAAGAAAAGTAAAATAAAATGAGCTGTTTATAGTAGCATTAGTTCAAGAATACCCATGTCACGAATTTTCCTAACCTTGGTTCAAACTTTTAATAGTACATTGCAAATTATGAAAACAAAAAAAATTTCATTTCTTAAAACTTGATTTCGTGATAAAACTATCTTAGAGAATATAATTTATTTTGCAGCTATTTCCAATTTCACATTTGGTAACATTGTTTACGTGATTTTAATTAGCAGAATATGTGGCGGTTGCAACCGCGATATTGGATCAGGGAACTATCTAGGATGCATGGGCACATTCTTTCATCCTGAATGCTTCCGTTGTCATTCTTGTGGTTATGCTATCACTGAGCATGAGGTATATATATATATGCACACATATAATAAATATATAATAATACTCTTAGTTTATGTTAATGTCCTTTTGAAGTGACTAAGGTTGTGTGTTTTGTCTTCTCTCTTGATTCAAGTTCTCTCTGTCAGGAACCAAACCCTATCATAAGCTTTGTTTCAAAGAGCTTACTCATCCCAAATGCGAAGTTTGTCACCATTTTGTAAGCAATGATACAATCACCTTATAAGATTCCTAAACATCAGATATTTTTATATTTGTTCCAATTCCATATTCTTCTCCTCAGATACCAACTAATGATGCTGGCTTGATCGAGTATCGATGCCATCCGTTTTGGAACCAAAAGTATTGCCCGTCTCACGAATATGATAAAACCGCTCGTTGTTGCAGCTGCGAACGTTTGGAGGTAATCAAATACAAATAATTTTATTAATTCTTGCGTAAGTCCATATTTTTTT